TTGTTTTGTGGGTGGTGGTTGCACTGTGAAACCACCGCACGTCTAGAACTTTGAAACTTACCTAGGTAGTAGGGGAAAAACTTACCTTTCTCCGTGCGCGTTTCCAATAAATGACGAAATTTACGAATTAAAAAAAAATCATATAGAAAGTGCATAATATATATTTTTTACAATATTTTACAAAGTAAATCATCAGAAAAAATTAAATGAACATTTATGTAATTTTTCTATAGCAGTGAAAGTGTAAGTACCTACGTAATAAGGACGTTTGGCTACATATATTAAAAAACTCGGTAAAATAAGGATAAAAAAAAAGACCTTTTTTTTTTTTTTTTTTTTTTTTTTTTTTTTAAATTTCAAAGAACGAATATTTTATGTGACACTGGTCAAAGCATGTTTTGTCTTTTTGGTACATGCATGTCCACATTGCATGTTTCGCACATGTATCTTCTTCTGTGAGGTTTTTTCTTTGTGCTACAAAATGTACACTGATTGGATCTAAATTTCACTGGTATATGTCCAGCGTTATTTAGTTTCTTTTCATCTGGCACATGGAATTTGTGGTTTTTTTTATGGTTAATGGGGGAGGACGCTTGGTACTTTTTAGCTTTGATACGGATCATTCGTTTCCCATTCATGCTTATTTTATTCGTATTTCGTCCCAAAATACTCAGAAAATATTTTTAATTTAAAAAAAACTTTACGCGATTTCAATTTTAAATTACAGCAAAGTATATTTACATTAAATTTAAACCACAGGAAATAATTTATAAAATCACTATACTGGCTTGGGGAGCAAGTGTGTTGAGGTCAGAGAAAAATCTCTGGAAAGACCTTTTAACTGGGCAGGTGCATGTATTGTTTAGTAATAAAATAACTCTGTTGTTTCAAAACCCTTTATCTAAATTCAGGTAAAAATAAATATTCCTATTTGAGAAGTAAGCAAACGCCATTGTGAAGAGCCGTGGATTCAAGGCGCGGCCACCAAGCCTCTAGAGCATTGTGACACAATGAACCACTATTGAGCATTGTGACCACAGCACCACTAGAGCAGTGTGTCACAATGCTCTAGTGGTGACTTTATAATCCATGACTTTTTTTTTAAACTTTATAATCCATGACTGGCGTTTCGGATTTAATCAAATCTTCATAAGAGCATTGTGTCACAATGCTCTAGTGGTGCTGTGGTCGTGCCCTGAAACCACAAAGCGAATGCCATACATATAGAGGTTTTTTTTTATATATGCAGTTTAGTTATTGCTATTTTTTATTGTTTATGTTAGAACTCATGATGTGCGATGAATAACTTTTGAAATTTAAAGTTGTTTATATTAATAAAAGGAAGTTATTTTGTCTTATTGAAAACAAATTTTAAAGGACATCCAATTTGAAGTACTAAGACCTAAAACATGTATGATTCTGCAGTCATTTTGTGTTATTTAGAGGTAAAAGATCAGTAATCAATTGATTTTCACTCAAAAATTTCGGAAGGAAGAGGAGAAAAAAATTCGAAAATTGGTGCTTTCAGGGCGTGACGACCGCGCGTCAAAGAGTTAATGGTTGAGGTAGTCCTTCTTTTACCAAAAAATATATTTCTGCTTCTAATAAGATAGTTGGCCAGGAACCCGGATCTGAATTTATTATTGTACCAACTGTCTCTTCTTTAGGTATCCCTGGAGTAGGTTTAGTAGACGTCCTTAGAGTTGGTTCAGTGGACGTCCCTGGAGCAGATTCTTTGTATGTTCCTGGGGTAAGCTTCACTTGAGCAATATCGGTATCTTGATTGATAATGGCTTCATAATTAAGATTGAAATAGCTTCTAATATTCCTGTGTCGTCATTGTTCCTTTTCTTGCCTTGTAGATAACTTAACAGACTTCCAGCCTGTTTTTGAATTTGAACTTGCTTTTCGACTCTTTTTCTTTTATATTGAGCATCCAATAATCTTTGATGTCCATCAGACATTCTAAAAGCAAAAACAATTAAAATTAAGAAAAAGTTTCAATAAAAAAATCATTGTGTTTTATTTAAATGAAAGAGGCGTTTTCGAGTATTTTTTTAATGTTATAAGGCGATATTTTGTTGTGTAAGGTAAAATGTAAAAAAAAAAAAAAAAAAAAACTTTATATTCCATGACTGGCGTTTCGGATTTAATCAAATCTTCATAAGAGCTTCAAGGTTTCATTGAAACCTAAGTGTTAGTCATAGACTAGAAACTATTTTTTTAACACCCTACCCTAAAGCCAACAAATTTATCAAACTTATCCAAATTTAAATTTAAAAAGCAAATTATATTCTACTTTTTAACCAGTAAAAATGTTTTGCAAACAATTTTAGAAAGACCGTGGTTTATACCAATAGGTAATGTATTCTTTATTGGGCATTTTTCAAAATCTATTTTAATAAAAATTTTTAAAAAATAGAACCAACTTAAAAAAAGGCACTAAAAAGTATAAAATTATTTTTAACCGACTTCACTGAAGTAATGCAAAGTGAATCCATATATTTTAAAAATCGGGTGCCTTATGTTTTTTGGGGTGGGGGGAAGTAAACCTTATTTAATCGGAAAACTAATTTTTTTTCTTCTCTTTAATATTAACCCCAAAGGCGAAAGGGGTAGTTTTTTAAAAGTTTTAATTTTGCACTTTATTTGGATTCCCAGTGGCTTTATTCACATCAAATTTTAATTATTTTTGGAAACTTGTATTTTTTTCATCCCCTAAATGTCATCCTCAAAATTAGGACTTGGTATTTTAAACTACCTTTTTAACAATGTGGTAACATACCCTATCACTCGTACAAAAAAAGATCATTAAAATCGAAAAACTTTAATTTTTTCCCCACCCCTTAATTATTTTTGGAAATTTTTATTTTTTATTAACGCTTAAATGTTATTAGCAGATGGCATTTTAAACCACCTTTTTAACAATGGCACCAATCCGGTAACATACCCTATCAAACAAAAAAAATCATCCAAATCCGTTGAGATATGCCGAAGTAATCAGCGGACAAGCATAAAAAAAATAATGATCGAATTGATAACCTCTTTTTGAAGTCAATTAAAAGTACATGAAAAAGCCTTGTTTAGAAAGAAACATCATGTAGAAGCTATTTAAATACTTCTTGAGAAAAACTGAGTAATTTTAATTATTCTACTCACCTTACTTTTATAACACAAGTTTAAAAAAGGCCAGGTAAATAGTAAGTGTATTATAACGCACTCTACTTCACTAGCAACCAATCTGCAAGGCAATTATTCCATAAATAAAATGATAGAACTGCCTTTTTTCCTTTTATAGTCACAGTTAAGCGTGCGAAAGCTTGTCAGGAATGATTTTTCGTGCCCGCCCGCATTTTCATACATGTTTCGACAAATTAAGACACACAGTAAAAAATTCTGTTACAGCTTTGTGTCGATTAATGATCGTTAATAAAAATATTAAAAAAATATTTCATAGATGCTGGTCCATGTGACAATATTTTTTAACATTGTTACAAGGGTTTCAAAGAGTAAAACAGCAAACCCTGATTTAACTCTTTCGCATCGAGAGAGGGCAAAATCTCAATTCCTCAACATCGAAAACGCCCGTATCTAAGAATTTCTCCTGGAATGCTTTTCCTTTCCCCCTGACAAGTTGAATACTACAGCGCTAACAATAGCCTTACTTAAGTAAAGCGAGAACTTCTTTCTTCAACGCTTTAACACTGTGTGGAGTTCCCCCTTGGGACGGGATTGCAACTTCGGGCATCAAAAGCTAACACACTGACAGTAAACAAAGGAAAGGAAGGAACAAAGGAAACAAGGAAGCTACTTTTAGTAGCTTCAAAAGAATGATTGACATGTGATTTAACAACACCTGAAAGCAATGAGTAATGCAGTAACGTAATGGGGGAAAGCACTGGGTAGGGAATTATTCAAGCGTTTTGGGCGTCCAGCCGATATCTGAATGTTTGGGGCGACTTCGATGCGAAAGAGTTAAACCATGAAAACAATCATAGAGGAATGTAGTAATTCTTTATATTCATCCCCACTTAGAAAAAAACTCAGTTAATAAAATACAGGCAGTAGTGAATTACTGTCTTCTATATTATAGTTTAATGACTATTGTAGAGATTATTAGGTATTTTTGAAGCCAGGAAATGTGATAAGTTGATTGTAACTTCACCAAGGTTTGGACAATGCCAGAAATGTTCGTGATGTTCTCTGTAAATTTATTTTTATTAACTTTGATGAAATTTTCTGAAGGTGTAATTATTAAATAGTAATTAACTGTTTAAGTAAACTACTGAATACTGAACTTAATCAAGAAACAAAAGAGTTTAGAATACAGCATTTTAAAATTTATTTAATTTTGATGAATATACCAGTAATTACGTATACTGATTACTAATGATAAAACATAGTTATTAACAGGTCTATCGTGAAAAAGTAAACTTACTTTTTTTTCTCAAGTAACTAGTTTTAGTACATAGTTTTTTTGCAAAAGTAAACTTACCTTCAATAAAATTCACAACAAATTAAAATTCTGTTGAAGGTTATCATTTATCTGTTTTGCATGAAATTTATGCTTTTAAGAATTTGTTTATAATCACAAATTTTATTTATTTGCCAGTATTTAATCTTGTAATGTAGGGAAATCTTCCTAGCACTTTTTAAATATATGTTAATGTTAAAATGTAGTTTAAATAGTTATACCATTAGTTAATGAATATACTTTTCATCTGCCAAGAACATTGGTTTTTACCAAATATCATTAAAAGCAAAGAATTTTCTAACTTTTAGCAGTTTCCCTCTGATAGAACTAACTGGCCAAAGCCTATAATAGAAATTTATATGTGTTAGGTTTTTGTTATGTTAGCTGGTCAGTATTAGTAGTAAACATATAAAACTTCACTTTTTCTTCTGAATACAATATTATATATACTGTGTGAGAAGCAATTCTCCAAGTTCAAAATGCATGTTACATTTTTTTTTGGATGTTTTATAACAAAATTTTTACTTTATTTAGAAAATCACCGACAAATGCTTTCGAAAATGCATTACTAAACCTGGGACTAGTTTGGATAATTCAGAACAAGTAAGACAGTTCTGTGTATTAACATTTATATTCCAAGTTTTATTACAATTTTGATAAAGGTTTTTTGTTAATTTAATGTTGTATTTTTCTGTGTCATAATGAGATTGCTATACGCCGCAAAAATGACATCTGTCTTAGTTCATGCCGTACAAAATTATGTGATGCTGTAGTAATAAGTCTCATGCAATGAACTCTCATTAATTCAGATAGATAAAATAGGTAATTTTAGGAAAAGCTGAAAACATAAGTATCTTAACCTTTTGACCATAAGCATCATGCCCACCAAGATGCTCTTTCTTAAATGCTCTGCAAAATGTATATACGTTGTTCAATTGTCAGCAATCTATCGTAGTGCTAATTTATTGTTACTCAAGCTGTTTCGATGATGTTTCTTGAAATGAAAAGAAGAAATTATTAATAATTTCTTAACTGTTTTTCAAAGCAGGAATATATGCTTGGTACAACATCGCACTATAATGGTATTGCTATCATTTTATACATTTACCAAGCATTTTCTAGATGAATGTTTTAACTTCATCATTTGTATAAACCGAAGGCCTTTAGTAAGATCAGTATGACGAGATTTGTTTGTGATTTTTGGTTGTTGATAAGGATTTTTAATTTATAAATTGCAGCTGAAATTCTGCCATACCTTTGTTTATTATAGCAGTTACTCCTTTAGTGGTAAAACATAAAGAAATTGATTAACCTTCTGAGCAGCATGGGTTTTTGGATTTGTCATGAAGATCTGTATTTATGCAGCATTTATTAGCTAAGTTTATATAATTATTTATTTTAGCCTTTTATTTTCATAAACTTATATTCATTAAGATTATATTATTAAAGAAAGCAAATATTAAGTGGCAAAAAACCTCATGACCGGATAAAGCCAGTCATGCCACTCAGCCTGTTAATATGCAAACATCTGTAGAGACTCTTAAGGATGAGTATCAATTAAGTGTTTGGACACAAAACAGTTATTAATTTTCTTTTGACGTATATACAAAAGCAATTATCAATTTTCTTTCAGTTATCAACATTTTAACCAGTGACTAAAGCTCCTACCATATACATCAGTTGATCACATAAAGGTTTCCCTGGAAATTTTGAAAAATTATGATTAATATATTGATTGTAGTAATTCTCACTGTGTTAAAAAAATCATTTGAATTACAGTTATGTTGCTTATGGTTTCACTTGTTCAGCAGAAAAAGATGGTATGCAACAAACACAATGAATCTTATGTGCCAAAATATTTTCCACCTCCAATCTTGAAACATCAGAGATGTTTGAGCATGTCAATCTGCAGGATATATTCTCAACATTTTTAAGTACACTCACTTCCAAAAGTTAAGCACGAAGAGGAAAATGCTAATTTGCGGAAGCCAATCAGAATTGAAGAGGATGCAATTCGCTGCAGAGATAGATGGAAGTATGCAAATATGTTAGGTAACAGCCAATCGTGCTTTCATGTCAAGAAATATGCATAAAAGGCAGTCGTATAAGAAGCCAGCTTTATAAAGAGTTATAGAAGTTGATTGTTAGTGCTGATAGAAGGTGTTTAAAACTTTCGTACAAATTGGTTTCAAGACACATAGACTCCAACCTTCAGCAATCCTTGTCAGTAGTCAACGCGCGAACGACATTTTTACAACTTTGAAAATGTGCGCGTAGCGTATGTTGTAATTAACCATTCATTAATTTTAAATTAATAATTAATTGTAATCAATTTTATTACATTTAAAATCCATATACATATAAAACTGAATAATTAAAATATACCTTGTAAATTATATGCACATTTAATTAGAAATTTTCTTTTAAACTCCTCAAGCTTTCACTAATAAAAAGTACTTCAAATCACTACTAATCATAGAAAAAATCAAAGCTATAAATCATATCTTTATTCTGGTATGATTTCTACAGGGAAATAAAATTTAAATAACCAAGAATGATACATATAAGTATTAAACAAAATACGCATAATTTATGAATGCAAAGATTTATATGTAGCATGCTTAGCAAGCTTAAGTTCTGATTTTGAGAATGTTTTTTATAACACAGTTCTTCGTTTTGCCTGCATATTTATTTTTTTTTTTTCAATCAAAACTGCTTCAAGAGTTTTAAGACCTAAATTTGGTCGAAATTCCGTCTGATTTTTTTTAACAATAGAAAAAATTCTTTCGCAAGCTGCATTTGAATGAGGTATTAAGACAGCAAGCATTACAGAAGGCAATACTTTTGTATTTAATACACCCATTCATATTTTTTAATTTGGCAATTTCTCCCCATGCTATATCAATACGCAAATCTACAATTTCTTTCAATCATCTACTTGATACATGGAAATTCAATTTCTACTTGATTAAGACATTTTTCATCAATAATGGATGGAAAAGTATTCATCAAGTAAAGAACAGATGAAATGAGACTTCAGTTCTCAAGTTGATGTCAGCAACTTCAGCATGTTTAGAAATGGATCACTCAGTGGAAATTTATCAATTATATATGAACATGCAGTTACAAAAAAAGCTCGCACAGAATTGAAAAATGATTTCACTTCACTTTCATTCAACTTGGCATTTTTTTAAATATAGTCTTGTTTCCGCACCAATCACTAAATTTTCATTTTCTTTTGTTTACTATACTTCTGAAATGGAATAGACGTTAGAGTAACATCTTCATTTTCTTTAGAAATTACTGATGGTTTTACGAATCTAACAAATAAATTCATTAAAAGTTCAAAAAGTTCTCTTCTCAATTCTATGTATATAAGGAGCTTGTTGTTGCAAATTAATATTTACTGTTATAAACAAAGGCATGAAGTATTTTTCAAAAATAACAAGTATGGTTTGGTGGTCGGATGATTGTAAATTTTTTTTTAATGTTTTGCAATCTCTTTCTTTCATTCTCACTGTTATCTGGTTTATCCCTCCAAAAAATTAATCACAGCATCCCAATGTTCCAAAATCCTTGTTATAAGATTCTACAAGAGACAATATCTCGTACTGCAAGTATTTCAGAATTTTATGAGATTTTCCATTATGTCCCAAAATGTGTTGAGCAACTTTGAAGCTATGCTTCCGTTTCGAACTTTTCTCCAGAGTAAAAATATATATCTATTAATCAACATTTCATTTCTGAGCCAATTAATTTTTCAGTAGCATTTTTTGCAGCTATATGCAAGAAGTGGCACGGACAACCTCGGGTGATTATACTTGGTTGATGCATTTTGATAAATGATGCTACAACCTTTAAAACTTTCCAATCATATTACTAGCATTATCTGAAGAAAATGATAAGCAATTTTTCCATTCTAAAACCTTTGTTTTTAAAGTTTTCATTTATACAATTAAAAATACCTTCTCCTGTATTATTCGTGCATTCTAAAATAGAAATCAATGAAGTAATTATCACTCCCTTTTCTTTACTGTAGTATGTTATAACCAATGGGTTACAGTTTTGTTATCATTGTTATTATTACTTCCATCAGTACTTAGAGAAAAATGATGTACTGCACACTGATTTTATAATATCAGCAACAGTATTTTCTGCAAGCGTTTTCACAATAGCAGCAGTTTTGGTATGACCGCAGCTAAATTTTTTGCTATGGCAGAATCCGGAAACATTGCTTTGAAAAGCTCTTTGGAATGATCCGAAACAGAAAGCGGTAGATTATGTTCAATTAAAAAACGAACAAAATAGCATTCGGCTTTTATAGGATCTGTTTCATCATCTTTTTATTAAGAAATTTGTTATTTCTTTAGATTTTACGGTGCCAAGTTCTATATGCTTTTGAGAAAACACATGCCGTTTACAGTCATCTTTTCCGCCATGAGCAACTGAGAAGTCTTTGTTGCATACACTGCAGTGTGCGTGATTCACAGAAATTTCGGACGCTTTAATGCATGGAAATTCTGAAGAATATGAATCTTTAAACTTCTGCTTTGATAATTTTGGCTTCTTCGTTCGAGGCAGCATTATGATTAAAAATCTTTCACCTGATTCACAGTTCACAAGACACACGCTAAGCTCTCGCTGTAAACTACACAATGCAGCCGAATGCAGCCTAAACACGCATCAGCGAGGAACCTGGGAGACAGACAATTGGGTGGAACTATGATAAGTCGTTAACGGTTGGAGTTACTGATCTACGATTGGCTTAATTCTTCAAAACTAGGAACGCACTCAACACGTGATATATGATAACACGAGTATTCAGCCAATCGTCGGATGAATTAGTTGGTTCCGTTTTGCGTACTGGTTCTCCTGCTCTTGTTTCTGTAAAATCCGTAGTTTTTTCCATACTTTTCGTAGCTCGTAGTTTTTCATGAATTTCCGTAGAAACTACGGAGAATCCGTAGTAGTTGGAGTCTATGAAGACATAAGTTTTTCTATGACTTCCAGAAGACAAATGGAAGATTCTGAGCACTGGCGTGCTGGGGGGCGCATTGAAGCAGGACAGTCGATCACAGATGTTGCTCTTTTCTTCGGCATTCATCATTCTGTAATTTCACGTTTATGGAAACAACTCCAAACCACACAGACAGTTGTTCGAAGGCCCGTTGTTCAACGCCCGTGGAAGATCGATATATTTCTATTGTAGCCAAGCGGAATCACAGAGCCGACCTCCACACGTGTGACATCTATGGTTACAGCGTCCATTGGTAAGGCGATAATTTGCAGCTACTGTACGCCGAAGATTACATATGAAGTGGACTGTATGCCTGGGTACCTTGAGTTTGTGTTTCTATTTATTCGGTCCAATCAAGAGGGGCACGATTACAGTGGTGCCGGGAACATATCAGTTGGAATGTGTCTGATTGGGGCAATGTCATGTTTACTGATGAGTCAAGATTTGCTCTGGAGCCAAGATGATAAGTGTAATAAGGATATGGTGTGAACAACAAACACACAATCAGTCCCAAAACATCACCGAAAATCGCACATTCTGAGGCGGAAGCATTATGGTGTGGACAGGGATTTCATTAGGATACCAC